GTACACTGGAAGCGTCTCTCTTTCTCTCTCCCCCTTTTTTTATAAGTTTATAGTAAACGTTGGATGGAGTGTAAAGCCGTATACTGCCGGGCTTTGTGTAGCGGATGTAAATATTTGATGGCTTGGACGCGGGCTTCACCACACCGAGTTGTCATTTTTTTTCCCAGGTTATACTTACTGTGGCTTATACTTTACCCTTTGCATGAAAGTTAAAACATTTATTATGACTTAGTCTGTTCAAGTGTCTGTCATCGCTCAAAAAAAGCCCAGAATTATGAGGGCCAAGATGTGGGCGTGGATAACCTTTCATAGGGATAGCCAAGGGTGAAATCTGAAGATCATTGGCCCACAAAATGACTGACCATATCGGCGACGTCTCTAAAGGTACATCGTCTCGGTAAAGGCCATGTTTATCCAATACGTAAAGTCATCTGTGTGTAAGTGAAGAAGCCTTTGCGTTTGTCTTCAGTAATACGATTATTGTTTGCTTTTGTTATTCAGTTTGTTTGAGTTGCCAGGCTTCCAGGGACGTTCGGTGATTGCTAACTGATTCTGTGATGACGTGGGCTGTCTCTTTCTCTGTAAACAGCAAGAAACACAAATGTCCCCAAGTTTGTTTCCTCTATAATACGTCTGTTTACGTGGGATGTCTGCTGCTGTCTAAAAAAAAAAATTACAAAAACGCACGAAAGCTCTTTGTTCTTGTTTGCATGGGATTTTTTTTAGTATTGTTTGTATTCTGGTATGCGTTCTTTGTTTGATTTTAAGTTTGTTCACCTCATGACAGCTGGATCATTCGACAGCAAAGATGACAACTGGAGATTAATGTATTGTACCATAAGTGCTTAGCCTAATCATCCCTGTTGTTGACGCAGCTGTCGTTACTGGTACAGTTGTTGTTATGCAGCTGTCGTTGCTCCAAGTGCTGCCCTCTGGTGGCGATGTGATGAAACCGGTACACCAACATGCCCCGTAAACGCCGATAGATTAAGAAATAGATTAGTGATAGATTATCAGATAGTTAATCCCTTGAGTCTATTAATACCTCGATAGCAGGAAAATTGACTTAACTTACGTAAGCCTTTGTAATAAATCATCTCTTGTCATTAAACTGGGAAACATGCACATTAAGTTGTCTTTATTGTTGGAGATTATGAAAATGGCTGAATAAACTCACATGCAACCAGTTAGTTAGACATTTCCTCAGATTTAAGAATATTGTTATGTTAGATTAGATGCAGAGTAAATGATGTCGTTAGTCTAGTTTTTAATGATATTTTTTATTTATTTTTGTGTTTTTATATACCAAATTACCCAAATGTATGTATGTATGTATGTATGTAAAAATCACTCAGGTAGCATCAGTAGGAATATGACAAGTCACACTTCACCTATCACACCTTATATTATCGCCTGTCATCGCCAGGTAGGGACAGGCGAGTCAGGAGTCCTCTATCACTCAAGCCGTATAAGGTGAGGCCAATCAGGTACAGGTGAGTAGCTGAGGATGGTACGCTAGGCGATGGACGAACATTGGCACCTGTCTATCTGTGTGCCTGTCTATAAGTCTATCTGTGTCTCTGTCTGTGTGTCTGTTTGAAGTGTTTATATTGACAGTGTCGCCCCAAACACACACAAACACACACACACACACACAAACACATACACACACACACACACACACACACACACACACACACATTAACGCTGACTCCCTAATACATCTTAATCACATCCAGTTATCAATATAATATATATTTTTTTTACTGCATTACTCAGCCAAGTGACCACGTTTCCTTACCGACTGACTGAATAATTTTCCACGTGGGTTGATCCTTGTTTGTGAATATTTATGGCAATTTATGATTTATTTTACTTTCAATGAATATCCTTGTGTTTTTTTGTTTTTTCCCACCTTCAGAAGAGCTTAATAAGACGTGTTTATTTTCTGGGGAATAATTACCTCAATATACCTCTAATAATTTAATTAGTTGGAAATGTATGAGGGGTTGGGATTCATCCTTTAATATAATTGGATTAATTAAACCCCTGTGTAGGTAAAGGCCTCAGCTTGGTGTCCTGCATCCCTCAGATAATATTAATGTGTCAGTTTGCTTGGCACACTGTGGGTACCGTCACGTCGTTATCCCAATATTAACGACTCGGAGAATATCTCACCTACCTTTAACCTCCACGACGATAACCTCGTCTCCTAAAGCTGATCACAGTTTTTTTTTTTTTCAGTGTAACACCGTAATTTTTCCTCTTAAGTGTAACAATACAGGGTGTTTCAAAATGGCTCTATACACACTACCTTACAAATTTTCTTGAAGATCGCTTGCGTATCTGTATTAACACAGCATCATTGTCCTCATTTGTGGGAGACTCCACACAGTAAGAAATCAGGATAATGTTGCCTTTGTTCTGTATTCTCGCGATATCCAACAAAATATACATGTCAGTTTTACTATATCTTTCTTCTGAGACACCCTGTATTTGTTCAAGCCAACTTGTATCCTACGTTACGGCACCACTTTGACGACGCCGCCATCGGGGGTCTGACTGTTGTGGTTCATACGAGATACATCCTAGGTTTCTGGTCACACTTGGGGAAGACCTCTGTGTTAGGTATCCAGTACAGTTAGTACCCGCTTACCGTATGCTGTTCATTCGCTTAACGCACAGATTTTCTGGAGTGTTGTTTGTTCCTGCATCTTCCATCTTTACCAGAGGGCGACGCGACACAAATAACGCATAGATCGTAAAGGAATACCTCCAGTTCGAGTAATCAGTAGGTCCAAGAAGACTTTTTGATGGCAGTAGGTCCAAGGAGACTTTTTGATGGCAGACCAGATGGAACTTCGATAGCTTTCTGTTAGCATTAGCGCACGTGTATGTATAAGCAAATGAGTTCCCGGGAAGTCGCTGGCTTGGGAGTGCTGGGAGGGAGAGAGCTAAATGATGGGTGTATTCGCCAGCAGATCATTCGCTAGCTGTGTTTCGTGATAGGGAATTTTAACTCCCTCCATGCATTACTTTTTCATTACTGCAACTAACTTTCCCGGGAGCCCTGCTGTCGTGTGTCGCTTGTGTGTGTGTTCTACTTTATCACGAAATGTACCTCATGCAATTCCTTCCAAGCATAAGTTCCTCTCTACCTCACGCAATTCCTTCCAAGCACAAGTTCCTCTCTACCTCATGTAATTCCTTCCAAGCACAAGTTCCTCTACCTCACGTAATTCCTTCCAAGCACAAGTTCCTCTCTACCTCACGCAATTCCTTCCAAGCACAAGTTCCTCTCTACCTCACGTAATTCCTTCCAAGCACAAGTTCCTCTCTACCTCACGCAATTCCTTCCAAGCACAAGTTCCTCTCTACCTCATGCAATTCCTTCCAAGCACAAGTTCCTCTCTACCTCACGTAATTCCTTCCAAGCACAAGTTCCTCTCTACCTCACGCAATTCCTTCCAAGCACAAGTTCCTCTCTACCTCATGTAATTCCCTGATGTGTCTGAAATGTGCGATCTCCGTGACACTAAGGAAATTTACAACCTAAGTTATATAAGGGCATCTGGCAACCTGATTCCAAACACTTTTACCAAACGAGCAAAATAACCCTAATGCAGTGTTTATTTAAGTTTATTTCTTCACTCTCATTCTTTCCCCGAGTGTAAAGGGGAGTAAAAAATACCCAAGAACACTGTAATTTTTTTTTCCCAACCTGGTAATACTGCTGTACAACACATAGCGGTATCTAGTAAATATAATTCGGCACACTGGCTGCCATTTCCCAAACATCCTTTTTTTTTTTTACTAAACTAACAAAAATCATAATTCAATGTTTTTTTTTGTTTTTTTTCGTCATTCTTACCTAAACAATATAATATTTTTCTCCTACGTGGTAATTTTGGCTCGTGTATACAAAAGCGATACACGTTATACATTACATTTTGTTTTTTTTTATCTCAGGATGGTGTAAGAGGAAGAGGCGGCTCACCAAAACGCTTTAATATAATGTTAACTTACTGGCTCTTGCTGTGTGCTTCCTCTTTCATCCTTGGAGAAAAATAAATATACGAAATAGGAAAACAGAGACGGAGAGGAAGATAAAATAACACGAATAATCACAACATTAAATAATAAAAATAAAATAATAAAAAATCATCAAAGAAAACGGAGATACGTGAAGAAAGAAGAAGAAAAGAAACACAACAATAATTAACAAAATTGAAAGACAAAGCCGAAAACGTGGATGGAAAAGTTTGAGTTAAAAATGGGGGACAGAAAATATGAGATAGACGGTGATAGATAGACAGTGGTTGATAGATAGCGGGTGATAGACAGTAGATGATAGACATTGGTTGATAGACAGTATATGAGACAGAAAAAGAGATATGTAGATTGATAGATAGAGAAAATTGAGAGAAATGAAACAGATAGAGAAAAATGAAAACAATTGGCACTAAAATTTAAGAGAGAGAGAGAGAGAGAGAGAGGTTCCTACATTTCTATTCATTAAACACAATAGTGAAAAACCTCATTAACATAACACCTGAGGGGAGACTACTGTACCTTATGTGATCCTTGGGTAATATTGTTGATGTTTTCTATAGTTTTTCCTTAGTTTCCCACTTTATTATTCTTTCTTTCCTAGTCATTTTTGTAAGTCTTTTTTGTTTCTTAATGGACAATAAATAGCTGAGAGAAGCCGAGTGATACTTAACTTAATGGTGAGTAAAAGGATTCTGTTATGAGTGTATATTATTGTTACGTCCGGGAATGACAGCAGTCAGTGTTCTCGTGGCTATTTTAAATTAACGCATCAGGAGTTAAATGTAAATGCTGGCGTTATCAATGACACACACACACACTCACACACACACACACACACACATGACCAGAGAGAAAGAGAGAGAGAGAGAGAGAGAGAGAGAGAGAGAGAGAGAGAGAGAGAATAAAACAAAACAATTAACAAGTTATCTGTCTTTCTTCCCCACCAGGATGATGATGATGGGTGGCTCCCCCTTGTGGTGGCTGGCTTTCCTGATAAGTCTCCACGGCCCTACCACCCACGCCTACGACCCACCCGACACGCCCACCATCCACGCCCACCACCCATCTGTTTCACCCAACCATCACATCAACGCCCACTTTAAGAACGTAAGTTGCTAGCGTGTGTTCGAGGGCTCAGAGAATTAAGTTATTCTTCATCGACTTGTTGGGGATTAATTAGCTGGTTTGTTTATTAATTATGCACAGGTGACGTCTAGAAGTATAAGTACAGGTGAGACGAGAGGGACTACTACTCCTACTACTACTACTACTACTACTACTATTAATAATAATAATAATAATACATAGTCAGAATGTAGGCCGAACTTCCATAACTTCATTCTCCCATTCGTGGCCAAAGTCTCTTCTTACGGGGTTGAACATAAGACCTACCTCACCCCAACCCCTCTAGATAGTCTCTTGACATAAACTGGAGATCCTGAAGAGAAATCTCCTCCTTGATGTACTCCCAAAAGACCAACATGAAAGGTCCGTCTCTATAAGACATCCCCAGGTGCCTTAGTCTCACACCTGACCAGCATTCTACAGTGAGTAATAGGATTTTGTTCTCGCGTGGGAGTCTCTCTTGAACCTGGATACCTTTAAGGATTTATAAAAGGATATGTAAATTGATACGTGGTATTTTTTTTCCCAAGGATGTATCACTGAAAGGTATTTATAATGCTCGCTTAATTACAGGATGATAATGGATTTTTTTTTTTACCTGTAATAGATGGTTGAACGTAATCATTTGTTCATGAATGATAGGTGGATTATAGATGATAAGAGATAGAAGGAAATATAATCGTGAAGGATAGATAGATAAATATATAGATAGATAAACACAAAAATGATTTACAGACGAGAAGTTAAGCTGAAGATAAAACGATAATGAATGATGCGAGAAAGGGGAGAGGGTGATAAATGAGATTGTTTGATAGAGAAGGAATGATTGGAAGGAAAATTGATAGAGATTAAATGGGGGAAGGAACGTTGTAAATAATTATTGAGGAGGAAGGAATGAGGAAAGAAGGGATGAGGAAAGAAGGGATGAGGAAAGAAGGGATGGAAGGATGTAGGAAGGAATGAAAGATTGAGGACAGAAAGGAAGCCGTGTGTGTGTGTGTGCGCTTGTGTTTCACCAGAAAATATATAAACGAGAGGTAAAGAAACAAGTGATTAAAGAGAGCAATAAGAAATAAATAAAGAGAGAGGGTAAAGACGGTGGCTTTACTTACAAGTTTTATGGCGGTGAAGAAATTTGGGTCCAGAATTTCACTTTCCTAGGAGAGAATGAGAGAGAGTCAGCTTAGCCAGCACCACCTCTCACTTACACTCCTTATCAAATATAGCTTCTAGGTCACTCTTCACCCTAGTTTGTTAATTACCCTTAATTTTCCCCTATCTCCGCCGTCTCCAATAATTATACCAACCATTTACGTTTTTATGGTAATGATGCTTATAATTTCCGGCTAGTATATATTGAGAAATTATTCATAATTGTTTTTGTATTTTTAGATTCTACCTGTTGTTATTAAGGTTAAAATTCACCTGTTAATAATTTTAATTCTATTTGGTTTGTAGATTTTAAAGAATAATTTGTATCTAATTAGTAAATACAAATTTGAGGGCTGATCTCTGGTTCAGGGCGGAGGCATTCCCTGTACAGTTCACCCAAGTGCCAATGGTTACCTGACTTTACGGTTGGGGAACTTTACCGTGTTATACCCACACTGTCCTTCGTGGTCCGCCAGGCCTATGTGACCCACTTTTACTGTTTTACTTATTAGGATTCTCTTTATTAGTCGTGTAGTACAGAGAGAGAGAGAGAGAGAGAGAGAGAGAGAGAGAGAGAGAGAGAGAGAGAGAGAGAGAGAGAGAGAGAGAGAGAGAGAGAGAGAGAGAGAGAGAGAGAGAGAGAGAGAGTATACAGCCCACCTCGCATAAAACCACAACTATGAAAGAGAATCACACACCAGCTTAACACTGCTAAAACAATGACACACACACACACACACACACACACACACACACCCCACACACACACACCCCCCCCACACACACACACACACACCCCCACCCCCCCCCCACACACACACACACACACACACACACACACACACACACACACACATACCATCTTTACATTACCAGCACCAAACAGGCATCAAGTACCTGGTTGTCTGGCAGTGAGACTCATAACACGACACTCCAATTTCCTCCCGTCCCAGATATCATCTCTCATCAGGGCTCTTGAACACATTGAGCTCTATACTCATACATCTGGTTGTTCCAATGCTCACTTATGAGAGCCAATGGACAGGTGTGTTTATTTTTATTTTTTTATCTTTCGTGTTTCTTGTCTGTCTGTCTGTCTTTCGGTGTATGTGTGTGTGTATCTCTCGTATCTTGAGAGTAAATTAGGTATTCATGTTCACATGTTTCAAATACAGATGTTCAGTTTTATAGTGTTCAAATATGTGACTCTCTTTAGATATGTTCAAAAGATTGTCTTAACGTGTTGCAACAAGTGTGTGTGTGTGTGTGTGTGTGTGTGTGTGAGAGAGAGAGAGAGAGAGAGAGAGAGAGAGAGAGAGAGGGGTATCACAGAGTAACACTAATGTTCACAATATCTCATTGATTTTAAACCTTAATATGGTATTAACTTTTGGGTCAAACAAACACCATTAGTGAGGGATATTAAGTGAGTGAGTGAAGGTGTAGTTTGTGCAATAGTGATTAATAATTTATTCATGTCGAGCCATCATCGTGTGTGTGTGTGTGTGTGCGTGTGTGTGTGCGTGTGTGTGTGCGTGTGTGTTTTGTGTGTGTGTGTGTGTGCGTGTGTGTGTGTGTGTGACTACATTTCTATATTATTGAATAAGTATGGAGTTTTTAGATTCAGTTTGCTTGTAAGTATATTTAGAAGTTTTAATGTTTTCTCCTAATCCATATTTATGATGATTTTTAACCATAAACTAACAGTTGCATTATTTTTGTTTACCTCTACACATAGGTAGTTGCATAATGCACACACACACACACACACACACACACACACACACACACACACACACACAACTATGTACTTTGAGTCCTGTTTGACCTCAGCCAATGGAGGCCACGTATTGAGACCCGAAAGCCCGATGTACGATAATGTGTTAGGAGCTGAGACTCATCTTTCCGATGTACGATAATATGCTGTCAGTTGTGACTCATATTGCAGGTGTACGATAATCTGGTATCGGGTAAAACAGATTTTCCCCGATGTGCGATGAAGTGTTATTAGCTGCGACTTGGGTTCCCGATGTACAATAATGCGTTATCATCTGAGACCCATTGGTCCCGATGTACGATAATACACTATTACTAAGAGCCATAAGTCCGATGTACGATAAGGTGGCGATACTGTACGATAATGAGCAAGTCGGTAACAAGAGAGGCACGCTGGGTGGAAGGTGTTACGTCATAAATATAAAAGTGTATAGAGTGTCACGTCCTGGTGCCACTGTCGGCTTAATAGTGCCAATAATGGTGCCAATAATGGTTTCTGGGCTCACCTCCACACGGTGTTATAGTATTAGGGGTGTGTGTGTGTGTGTGTGTGTGTGGAGTAGAACTAAGTAGAGAGGAGTTTGGGAAGAATGAGAGAGAGAGAGAGAGAGAGAGAGAGAGAGAGAGAGAGAGAGAGAGAGAGAGAGCAACTGTGCCTCACCACCAATAATCCTGGACATAACAATACCCGTGCCAACTGTTATTGTTATCTGTGCCAAAGAACATTAATCTCTCAAGTCATGTTGAAATTGGGACCCTAACCTAACCTAACGTAGAGGGATTTTTTTCGCTACATAAGAAAGGTGTTTTTACATCTGGGTCACTACAGGACGAGGCTTTCACTTAGGTGGAGGATGAGTATTATCACCTCTCACTGTAAACATCAAAGAGGTTTTATGTTTTGAAGTTGTTTGACTTTGATGATGTTTTGTCTGTTTTTCTATCTTTCTCTCTGCTCTATGTGTCTATATGTCTATTCTCTGTGTCTTTCTTTGTGTTCTTTGTTCCCCTCTCTCTCTATTTGTCTGTCTGTCTCTCTCAGCCATAATTATTGATCATCAGTAACCATCTCGTTGTGATTTACGTCCCCATAAACTACGATACACAAATAAAAACACAAACAACAACAACAAACTCACCGCCCCCTTCTGATAATTCAAGCCAAGTTAAAGGTCAAATATCTCTTCCATTCCAGCCAGAGTCGTTGGAGGCACAGATGGCAGTGTTGGAGGTCATGAGGGAGGACTGTGAGGTGAAGATGAGGGAGGAGAGGAGGTTTTTGAAGCAGATGAGGACAGGTGAGATGGTGAGGGACACAAATGAGGGGATAGATGCCGCCTACGATGATGCAGAAGAGTACAGAGTCGTCGAAAACAACACCAAACCCAGGACGAGAACTTCAGATGAGCGAACAGAGAACATCGATGATGCTAAAGAAAACGAAATTACGGGTAGAGAAAATGAGAATCAAATCAATATAGAAAATGGGATTCAGGTCATCAGAGAAAATGGAAACCAGGGCATTAGAAAAAATGGAAACCAGGGCATTAGAAAAAATGGAAACCAGAGCCTAAAAGAAATCGGAAAGCAGGTTGTTAGAGAAAATGGTAATCAGAGCTTAAAGGAAGATGGGTCTGTGGTCGCCTACTGTCCGACGACGTTCGACGACGTGTACTGCTGGCCACGGACACCTCCGGACACACTGGTCACTATCCCGTGTCCGTCCTACGTCCAGGGCTTCCCACATGGGGTAAGAACCTACAACACCTGAATCCATGAGCGTTTTTAACCTAACCTAACCTAATCTAATTCATCCTGACAACATAACTTAACCTAAGCTAATCTAACCTAACCTAACTCAATCTAACCCAACCTAAATTAATCTAGCCTAGCCTGACTTCGTATGCATGTATATGTATACCTCGTTGAATTATATGTATGACCAGATCCACATTGTATTTTCTTGTGTATATGTATAGTATATGTATATCGTGGACTTGTTCTATGTATATTATTTAATACATCGTCAATTGTATGTATATGTATACCTCGTGGAATTATATGTATATTATATGTGATGGACAGAGCCAGGCGTCCCGGTACTGTACCTCACAGGGCACTTGGTTCCGGCTTGACGGAGGGAACAGTTCCTGGACCAACTACACCTTGTGCTCCCCCACCTATGTTGTGGCCGAGAGTGTCAATATGACCCTCTATAGGGTAAGTTCTCCCCCTCTTCAATAGTTTCGTGTCCTTCCTTCCTTCCTTCCTTCCCTACCACTCCTCCACCAGCACATTTCCATTTACCTATCCTCCTGACAACACATTTCCTGCCACCAGCTCATGTCCTACCCTCCTTCCTATCCCTATGACAAAACATACCCTCCCACCAGTGCATGTCCAGTCATCCACCTGCTACACTCGCAAGGGTCGGGGAACTTTTTTTGGGTATTACCCAAAAATTTTTTTGAGTAAAATGAAATTATCCCCAGACTTCAAAGTACACTAGTACTAGTGTACTTTGAAGTCTCTGTGCTAGAGAGACCTTCACTACATATCCGTCACCATATCAGCCTTTTTTTTCTTTTTGTCACTGGCCTTGCAAAGAGAGGGAAATATTCAGCCTTTTTTCCTTGAATCATTAAGAGCGTAGTAACATATTTAGCAGTCGACCTCGGGGCGTTAATTTTGTGTGGGTCAGGTCCCTCTTAGGTCGTGTTAAAAGGGTAAATGTCATTATTTCGGGAGTCTTGGATGCTCAGATCTCTCTCTCTCTCTCTCTCTCTCCATGTATCCCATGACAAATTACATTTTAGTGAATCAAGAGTATATAGAATTTTACACATCCCAACTGCTCTCCATCTTCTGTCTCTTTCTCATTCTATGTAGTCTCTCTCCCACCTTCTCTTTGTATCTTTATCTCTCTGTGTCGCTCTAATGAAAAATACAAGTATAATCACAAACGGAGTTGAAAAGACAAAGCGTAAGAAAGATGGAGAGAGAGAGAGAGAGAGAGAGAGAGAGAGAGAGAGAGACATACGCAGGTCGGATTAATTCACGGCGAGGGAAAATAAAAAAAATATTGATCACCATGTCAATTATCAACAAGATGATTTGTTGCTCTCTGTCAAACCGACTCTGAACCAAATTAATTCAACTCCACCAGAAAGAAAGTGTAATTAATCCCTTTTATTCTCAGAGTTTTGTTCAAATCCAATTACGTGAAATAGGGAGAAACCTTACGCCGTGATGTGGCGATTTGATGGAACGTAGAGGAGGAAATTAGTGATTAAGGGAATATATTTGGCGAAGAAGAATTTGGTTGTCGAGCGAATATATTTGGTGGAGCTGAAACTCTACGGTACCAAGATGCCGCGTTTCACTAACTATTGCTTGTGTCAACGGAGACTTAAATTTAACACACACACACACACACACACACACACACACACACATACACATACATATCACCTCCCCACCCCTGCATTTTTTTCCATTTTCATCTATATGTAAATGCTAAAAAAGACATCTTTCTCTATTCTTTTTCCTCTCCCCTTCCCTTTTTGCTTTCCCTTTCCCTCCTCCCCTCCTCTTTCTCTCGTCTTACTCTCCATCTCCCTCTTCCTTCTTGTTTCCTCTCCTCTTTTTCGTTTCCCTCATTTCATCCTTCTTCCCCTCCCCTCCTTAACCCTCTCCACCGCCCTATTCTTCTCTCCCTTCCTACTTTTCTGCCTCCCCTCCTCATCCCCTTCCGTCACCCCCCGCCCCCATCCTCATCACTCCTTTTTACTCCACGAACGACTGCGAATTCAATTTATTTGGTAATTTAAATGTTAATGTATTTCGTTGTTTAGTAGATCGTTTTGTAATGAGCTAAATATGTTGTGTGTGTGTGTGTGTGTGTGTGTGTGTGTGTGCGTGTGTGTGTGTGTGTGTGTGTGTGTGTGTGTGTGTGTGTGTGTGTGTGTGTGTTTGTCTCTCTCTCTCTCTACACCACACCACGACTTCACTAATACCACAAAAATAAAGCCTTTCAGGTTCTTTTACGGCTTAAGACTGAATAAACAGGAAAATTAAGACGCTGAGTAAATTAACATAGAGAAAAGTGAAGTAAACTAGATGCTGTTGTTTACCCTTGAGCTTAGTCAGGGCCAGGATGCGTAGTTTACCTTTGAGATAAGTCCTACCTACCTCCCTCCTTTCCCTCCCTTCCTCCTTCTTTGCCTTCCTTCCTTCCTACCCTCTATCTCTCTTGTCCACTGTAATTTCCTCCTTCCCCCCCTCCCTTCCCCCTTATTTCCCGCCCTTCCTTCTTCTTTCCCTCCCTTCCTCTTTCTTTCCCGTCCGTCCTTCTTTCCCTCCCTTTCATCCTCCTTTCCATCTCTTCCATCCTACCCTGTATCTCCCTCTTCCTCTGTCCTTCCCTCTTTTCCTTTGTTCTACCCTCCTTCTTTTCCTTCCCTTTATTTTTCCTTTCCTCCATCTCATCATCCCCCTTCCTTACCTCCTTTCCTTCCTCTCTCCCTCCCTCCAACTGTTCTTTCCTTCCTTCTTTTCCTCCCTCCCACGACCAACCATACTAACACCAGAACAACTCCACCTCCTCCTTCTCTCTTCACTCCCCCTTGCTCCTTCCTTCCTTCATCCTCTCCCTTCCTTCCTTCCCTCCGTCCTCCCTCTCTCTTCCTCCTCCTCCCCCTCCCTCCCTGTATCCTATATGAATAAAAAGGTAATATCAGGGACACAAGACCTTTATCGCCTCTTCCTCATAAACCAGGTAAAAGGTTTAGCTCTAACAGAGTCAAAGGGGGAGTCTTGGTAACTCAGGGCTGATAGCTATATACCCGTGAGTTTATTCCTGGCTAATGTGTTTTAAAAAGTTAGTTTGTTTCTTGGAAATTACCCACGTGTCTTTCATCTCTCTGTGCCACTCTGTTTGTGTTTGTCTGTATCTCTTTGTCTCTTTGTCTATCTGTCTGTCTGTCTCTCGAGGAATGTACCGAGTATCATTCCTCTATCTCTGGCTCAGTTTTGTATGTGTCTGTTTTCTGTCTGTCTGTCTCTTTTATCTCTCTCTCTCTCTCTCTCTCTCTCTCTCTCTCTCTCTCTGTTTATACCCCCTCTCACTGTTTTCCTCCTCAGCTTTTGTCCTCAGAAATTCTCTTCAAGTTCATCCATATTCAGAAATTAAACCATTATCTCTCATTCTCGTCTCCCTGTTTATTCTCGTCTTCCTTCCTATTCTTTCGCTTTATCATTCTTATTGTCATCCATCTTTTTAAATCCTCTTCGCAGTTTTTCGTCCTCCCACGCACACTATTCTCCTGACGTCCTTCCATCCCCTATCCATCATCAGATTTGTGTTGGCTTGCTGCCTTGCCTATCGTTTTTAACCTAATCTAACCTAACCTAACCTATTTCTACTACTACTCCTATTAATTAATACTACTACTACTACTGATAATAATAGTAATAATAATAATAATAGTAATAATAATAATAATAACTGGGATAAATATTTAATTTTGTCGAAAGATTCAATCTCGGTTACTCATAAACAATCACTCATACACGGTACATGGTCACTCATAAAGTCACTCATAAACTGTCACTCATACAAGCTGCCACTTATAAATACTCACTCATATACAGTTACTCATGAACACGGTCACTCACATATTTCTATATATATATATATATATATATATATATATATATATATATATATATATATATATATATATATATATATATATATATATATATATACGGTATATAAAAATGGAAATTGCACTTCCATGTTTTTCATGTCAGTATTCAAGAGGTGTCGAACCCTTGTAATGGAGATTCACACTCTCTCTCTCTCTCTCTCTCTCTCTCTCTCTCTCTCTCTCTCATCATAATAAAAGAGATCTCATTATCCCCCGCTCTCCCTCACCCTAACCCATTCTTACTCATCGTATGGTGAGAGAGGAAACATAATGGTACCATCCTTAACCAACCCACCCATCCCCTATCTCAGTACCAATCCGCCTCACTCTTTTTTCTGTTCTGTATATCCTCTTCCTTCCTTAGTCGCGATTTTTTTTCTGTTCCATACATTTTCTTCCTTTCTGCATCCTCCTTTTTTACTGTTTCACGAATCCTCTCCCTTGTTGTATCATCCTACCCATAATCTCACTTTTTTCTGTTCCATACATCATCTCCTTTCTTCACTCTCCCTTTATCAGTTCCATACATCATCTCCCTTCCTGGATCCCCGTCTCATATGACTCGTTTCCTCCAGGGCCAATATTCAGGGGGTGTATTTTTGTATATAGTAAAATACTGCGTCATTCTTTGCAACAGTACGTCATTCCTTGCAACACTGTGTTATTCTTTGCAACACTGTGTTATTCTTTGCAACACCGTGGGGCTATTTACAACGTTGTGTCATCTTCAAAAATGAACCGCGATATCTAATCTTCACGTGATCTTAAAATGGCACCCCAAAACGGTAATCAAATCATAAAAATACCTCTCATATATCTTTACCTTGCAATCATACCTGATCTATATAATGAATGACCATAATACAGGATGTCTCAGAAAATTGTACACAGACAACCATACAGAATCAGATCCCAAAAATTTATAGTCTAATACCAACATTGTCCTCACCTGTTGATGGATGATGGTCTCCCACAGGTAAGGACAATGTTGCTGTAATTACCAAACATTCACACAAACTTTACGGGAAATTTCTATTAGGCTTTGTGTATACATTTTACTGAGCCACCCTGATATTATGAGGCGGGAGTCATAAAGGGATATGACTATTGGCCCATAAAGGTTAATAGTGTTTAGTCGAATGGTTGATATGGGGCGGCGGTCTCGTTATCGAAATTGGTTCAAATATACTGAAGAGTGGATTACTTTTACTGAGAGAGAGAGAGAGAGAGAGAGAGAGAGAGAGAGAGAGAGAGACTCACAGATAGTTAGATAGATAGATAGACAGACAGACAGACAGATAGATAGACAAACAGACAGACATATAGCTAGATAGATAAATAAATAGATAGATAGATGATATAGATGATAAGGAAGATCACATCATTATCGCCCAATCAATATCAGAGGACTTTGAACGGGCGAAACAAATGTCGTGATTCTCCAGAAAATGAATAATAAATGGTGATAAAAGAGAGAGTCAGAAGAATATAGTGAAGATGTCAGCGTGGTGACAGGAGGGAGAATTAAGGTGGGGGAGAGGGAGGGAGAGTTAAGGTGGGGGAGAGGAGGAGAAAGCAAGGTGGGGGAGAGGGAGAATTAAGGTGGGGGAGAGGGAGGGAGAGCAAGGTGGGGAGAGGAGGAGAGTTAAGGTGGGGAGAGGGAGAGCAGGGTGGGGGGGGGAGGAGGGAGGGAGAGTTAGGAGGGGAGAGGGAGGAGAGCTAGGTGGGGGAGAGTTAAGGTGGGGAGATGGGAGGGAGTTAAGGTAGGGAGAGGGAGGAGAGTTAAGGGGGGGAGGGAGGGAGAGTTAAGGTGATGGAGTGTGACAGATTGAGGGAGAGGAGTGTGTGTGTGTGTGTGTGTGTGTGTGTGTGTGTGTGTAAAATACCTCAGGCAGGTGTCAGTACAGGCACCATCTGGCTGTTGCAATATACGAGAGGAACATATGTGTACAGTAGTTATTGTATTGCTTCAACAAAGTTCATGGTACTAAAAGGTGTGTGTGTGTATATATATATATATATATATATATATATATATATATATATATATATATATATATATATATATATATATATATATATATATATATATATATATATGTGTGTGTGTGTGTTTGTGTGTATAGAGAGAGAGATTCTCTACTAATCTCTCTCACTCCTTACCCACCAGGCCTGACCCTCGTTTCAACAAACACCAATAGTCGTAAATATAGGGAAACTCTCCACCTTCCAGCCTCTCTCATATACGACCTTCCCAGTCCCTTTCAGACTCTCCAAAGACCCTCCCCAGAACCATCAGATCTCCTTAGGCCCCTTCAGACCCTTCCTAACCATCTTAGCACCCAGGCCGTTCCAAACCCTCCCGAACCATCCTTAGACTATTCCAGGTCTTCAACTTTCCCAGTCATCCACATTAGGTTGTTCTCTTGTTATGTATTTGGAGGACTGTGTTGACTCTCTCTCTCTCTCTCTCTCTCTCTCTCTCTCTCTCTCTCTCTCTCTCTCTCTCTCTCTCTCTCTCTCTCTCTCTCTCTCTCTCTCTCTCTCTCTCTCTCTCTCTCTCTCTCTCTCTCTCTCTCTCTCTCTCTCTCTCTCTCTCTCTCTCTCTCTCTCTCTGAGCTTGTCTCTCTTCATCTGTTTCTTTCTCTGGCTTCCATTCTCTCTAGCCCCTGTCCTTTATCTTATATTCACTCTTCTCCCTTTCTTTCTCTCTCTGTCTTGAATGTATTTCATAATTAACATAACACTTAAAAGGCCTTTGAAATATTTATCTCTTTTTCCCACTTAACCTCCCCTCTTTATCAAGCCTTTTTATATCTCTCCTTTCTTTAATTTTCACTTTCCATCTTTATCAAGTCATTTTCTTCTTTCGTTTATCACTTCCCCTCTTTCCATTAATGGTCACTTCCCCTCTTTATCAAGTTATTATCTCTTCCCCCTATTTACGTTAATGTACACTTCCTCTCTTCATCTACGCCTTTAATTCCAACCCTCTTTCCCCTCCCCCCTCTTAACGCTAATGACTTTTTCCCCTCCTTATCGGGGCTTTTTATATTTTTTCCTCTTCGCTAATGGACACTTTTCCTCTTTATCAAGCCTTTAATTCTCCTCCTCTTTACGATAATGCCCACTTCCCCTCTTTTTAATCCACTTTTTCCCCTCTGACTTCCGTTCTCTTAATGGCGACTTCCCCTTCAATTCCCCTTGTCTCCCCCCTCTCTTTATGATAACGGCCACTTCCCCTTTATTACCCTTCTCTTTCTCTCCCTCTCTCTCTCTTTCCCTAACACGGTTCCTTGATCACCTGCCTGGCCCCACCCTTACCTGTCACCTGTAATAGTTACCCCCGTCCACACACACACACACACACACACACACTCTCTCTCTCACCACTCTTCTTAGCGTGTTACAGCCCCTCACTTCTCTCCCTCACTCACACTAGGCTTAGCAGTTTATAATCACTCTACCTCTCCCTGGCGTCCCTCACCACTCTCCCTCACTCTTCCTAGATAATAATCCGTGTCTAATCACTCTCCCTCCCTCTCCCTGGCGTCGTACAGTGGCTGCCTGTAGTAAGGGTGGTGTCGTACGTCGGCTACAGTGTCTCCCTCGCCACATTGATCGTCGCCTTCACTGTACTCGCCTGTATCAAGTAAGTCCTGTACTGGTGACTCAACTCTTGGACTGGTGACGCAACTGCTGTACTGGTGACTCAACTGCTGCACTGGTGACTCAACTCCTGTATTAAACCCATTTTTTTTCGCTAGACACTTAGGAAACAAAGTACTAATTTATTCTAATACTCGACCAAATTATTTTTTAATAGTCCATTAAAAGCTTTACTCCAGTGACTATATATTACGATCTTTATTTTAGTTTATTTCGTTTTACCTATTTTTATTTATTCTTATTTTTCGTATATTTTAGTTTATTTCGCATTTTTCTTTCAGTTTATTTCGTAGTATTTTTTATTTCAGTTTATTGCGTTTTTTACTTCTTTTGAGTTTATTTCGTATTTATTCTTTTATTATTAGTAGTAAAAGAAGTAGTAGTACTAATAGTCATCGTTGTTGTATTACTCTCAATTTTATGTTTTTTTTAATTTAAAGATTGTGTCACGTCTAATTTCACTTTAAATCCCCAAATTTACTCAGAAAACAGAAATTATTCTTATTGTGAGTTTCCTCTACTTGACGACGTAGTGCAAACAACTTATACTGACAAGGGAAAACAAAGAACAGTAAACAGAGGCAGACAAGTGACCCCTAGTGAGGTTGTTTGTGATAGTATGGTATAGAAGGAAGAAAATATACACAATAATGATGGATAAATCATACATATAAGAGAAGAGAGGAGAGGAAGGGATGGGTAGAAGAGATGAGGTGAGAAGGGAGGAGAAGTGAATAGGAGAGAGGAAGGGAGAAGAAGAAATGAGATGAGAAGGGTAGATAGGATAAGAAAAGAGATGAGATATAACTTTACTTACCAACAACAGGTTTAATCATGACTATCCTCTGATTGGACCTAAACTTGAAGCAGTTAAACTAGATTAGAGAATACTGTACGTCGTGTGAGTGAGTTAATCCCAGGCAAGCTTGTGTTCCTGCAGTGTAAACCTTAGTCTAATATTACCTGAGCTTCGTCGCACCAACCCGGGGGCCTTAAGTGACGGTGGAGTACGTTAGATTATGCAGCAGTGTACAGACAAGCCGTCACTATTGCTGTTGATCTAACTCCCGGCTGATGTTAGCTTTTTTGTGTGTCTGTGTCCCCCGAAAGCTAAAAAAAAAAAATATTGTGTATATTGTGACAGGATGATGCTGTGTTATTTTATAGTATAGTTCCGGGTTGGTTTCTGGTTTAGTCTAGGATGGAGTTATGAACGTATTATCTATCTTCTCCGTATTGCTCTTTAGATATATGAAAACAATATATATTTTTGTAGTTATTTAAAACCAATGCAAAGTTAAACCAATATTAACGTGGTCGTGTTGTTTTCTGAAGAGTTTTAGCGATGCCTTGAGATTACAACAGGAAAAATCATACTAACACAACCGCTGACCTTACCTAACCTGACCTGACCTGACCTGACCTTATGCCCGGAGACGACTACAATGACCCTTTGATTATGTGAAAAGAAGAAAATATAATCATTCCACACTACAATAACAATTTTAAACCAATATTAATGTTTTTGTGTCATTTTTCTGCAATATTCTAATGATATGATTCGAGATTACAAGACTAAAGCTGACCTGACTTACCTCTCCTTAGACGCTTGCGATGCCCGAGGAACACCCTACATATGCATTTATTCCTCTCCTTCATCTGCCGGGCTGTGGGGGCTCTCACCAGGGACCAGCAACACGACCTTTTCCTCACGCCAGAGCCTTTACTGGATGGCGGGGTGAGTCTTCCTGCAGGGTGGTGGTGGGTGGTGATAGTGTGTGTGTGGAGAGACAAGAATAGAGAGAGAGAGAGAAAAGAGAAAAATGACAGTGATAAATTGATAGTTATGTAGCATCAGAGTGACACACACACACACACACACACACACACACACACACACACACACACACACACACACACAGAAGAGAGTTAAAATTAAAAAGCAATACATTAAAAGAAAGAGATACATACGGTAAAAGAAGATGCAGGTCTAGAAATGACTGAAAGATTTTTACGTAGCTGGAGAGAAAAGAATCAACAACAATAACACAGAAACAAACGTAGGATGATGGCAGGTAACTCAGACACACCTACCTATAACTTGCCTAATTTAATTACCATACCTTTTAATGTTTATTTTGGTTATGTTAACACATCATTATATTTTAGTGTTTTTCCTATTGTATGTCACCAACTCCTTCCCCTTCTCCCTCTGTTCCTTTTCTTACTCTTTTTTCTTCCTCTATCTTTTCCTTCTTTCCCTCCTCCTCCTCCTCCATATTTTCCTCCTTCTACTCCTCCTCTACCTTTTGTTTCTCCTCATACTCGACCTTTTTTGTTTCTCTTCACTTACTTTTCCCTTCTCTTCCTCTTTTTTCCTCTTCCATCTACTCCTCCTCCTCTTCCTCCTCCTAAACCCCCTAAAAAAAACCCCTAAAACCACCTCCCTACACTCCCCAAAAGACTAACCCCACCAATACCCCCCACCCACGCCCTCTCACCCCCCTCCCACCCCCACCACTTCCCCATCCCTATCACTCTTATCACCAACATGTACTAACCCCTCCTCCCGTGACAGACGTGGGGTTGTCGGCTGTTTACGGGCTTGTGGCAGTATTTCATCTTGGCTAACTACGCCTGGATACTGATGGAAGGACTCTATCTACATAACCTGATCTTCCTGGCTCTGTTCACCGATAACTCTGCCATTACTCTCTACATCGTTCTCGGCTGGGGTGAGTATAGGTGGTGGTAGTGGGTGTCGTGGTGGTGGGGGGTGGTGATTGTTGTAGAGGGTATTGTGGTTGGTGATGTATAGTGTTGAGTGGTGGTTGTAGTGATACGACCAGCCAGTTTAAAGTAAGCATGACGACCACTGTGCACATGACCTTTTAATGCTTTGGGGGAAACTGTACTCTTGTTTTATTATGTTTTATTGTGTGTGTGTGTGTTTTTTTTTACTGTGTTTTATTGTTTTAACACGGGGAATATATAAGTATGTGGGCAGAGAGAGAGAGAGAGAGAGAGACTAGCACACAGGAAGTAATTCATCAACAAACCTTTTACGTTGATTGACTGTATCGAGTAGTTTATCTTTTTTTTTTTTGAGGATTTTTTTGTTTCGAGAGTAAATCCATCGCTATTTCACTAACATTATAGGCTAATCTCTTAAAACACACTTTAAATCCACGTTCACACTTTAAACCCACCAAACACTCCTAAATTTAGAAATATATAGATAGATAGATAGATAGATAATACTCGTTACTGTCAGATTACCTCCTCCTCCACTTTCAGGACTACCCCCTCCCCTACCATCTCTCCCCACTTTCAGGACTACCCCCCCCCTACCATCTCCCCCTTTCAGGACTACCTCCCCTACCACCCTTTACTGCTACCATCTCCCCCTTTCAGGACTACCCCCTCCCCTACTCTCCCTTTCAGGACTACCTCCTCCCCTACCATCTCCCCCCTTTCAGGACTACCCCTCCCCTACCATCTCTTTCAGGACTCTCCCCTACCATCTTTTTCAGGACTACTTCCCCCTTTCAGGACTACCCTCCCCTACCATCTCTCCCTTTCAGGACCCCCCCTACCATCTCTCCCCCACTTTCAGGACCCCCTACCCCTACCATCTCCCCCCCCCCTCCCCTCGTATCAGCATCACTAGGGTCATCTTTCACAGTTTAAGCGACACTTATGATAAATGACGCATTAAAAAGATCTTTTGAGAATTTTTATTTCTAAAAGTTTTCCTCCCTGAGTTGAAGAGTGTGTGTGTGTGTGTGTGTGTGTGTGTGTGTGTGTGTGTGTGTGTGTGTGTGTGTGTGTGTGTGTGTGTGTGTGTGTGTGTGTGTGTGTGTGTGTGTGTGTGTGTGTGTGTGTGTGTGTGTGTGCCCCCATCTCCCCATTTCTCTCGAATTTATCAACTCCCTCTCTTATCTATCCGTTTTTCTATGCACCACCATTATCATCACCACCTCTATTCTCTCTCCTCGTCACAGGACTGCCGCTGGTGCTGGTGCTGGGGTGGGTGACGGCGAGGATGACGGCGGAGAACACTCTCTGCTGGTTCACTAACGAGAGGCCTTGGGTCTTTTGGACGTTCATAAGAGGACCCATATCTACTTCCATCGTGGTGAGTACCTACCTGGTGATGTTGAGTACCTACCTGGTGGTGTTGAGTACCTACCTGGTGGTGTTGAGTACCTACCTGGTGTTGTTGACGACCTACCTGGTGATGTTGAGTACCTACCTGGTGATGTTGAGTACCTACCTGGTGGTGTTGAGTACCTACCTGGTGGTGTTGAGTACCTAGCTGCCTACCTGGTGGTGTTGAGTACCTACCTGGTGGTGTTGAGTACCTACCTGGTGGTGTGTGCACCTACCTGTGATGACCTACCTGGTGGTGTTGAGTACCTACCTGGTGATGTTGAGTACCTTCCTGGTGGTGTTGAGTACCTACCTGGTGATGTTGAGTACCTACCTGGTGATGTTGAGTACCTTCCTGGTGGTGTTGAGTACCTACCTGGTGGTGTTGAGTACCTACCTGGTGATGTTGAGTACCTACCTGGTGATGTTGAGTACCTACCTGGTGAAGTTGAGTACCTACCTGGTGGTGTTGAGTACTTATGAATTACACTGAGATGGAAGTGAATTTTAGTGTTGTAATTTCAACATACCTTCTGTTGTTCGACGCACGCACTTACATACATACATACATACATACATACATACATACATACATACATACATACATACATATACACATACATTCATACATACATACATACATACATACACACATTATATCCCCTCCAAAAGCGCTATTTCAATATTACAAGAAAACCTCAATTTCCTTCTACCGGCTGCCATCATTTAGGCTTCAGAGAACCACAGTGGTCGGCGGCAGCTTCCCCGAACCGCTGATAAAATTGAGTTAGAAAGAAATGGAATAACCCAAATTGCTTTCTGTTCATCCACGTTTCAATTTTACTGTCCAGAGGTTGTGTTTCGAGGCTAATGCTCTCTCTCTCTCTCTCTCTCTCTCTCTCTCTCTCTCTCTCTCTCTCTCTCTCTCTCTCTCTCTCTCTCTCTCTCTCTCTCTCTCTCTCTCATATCTGGAGAAGAGTCAGGATTTGTGTGTGTGTGTGTGTGTGTGTAATAATAATAATAATAATAATTAACGGTTTATTGAAAGAGCTTGGGAGCCAGAAGGCTGAAAATATACAGTTACATATTTGGGGAATGGGTTTCGAATTCCAAATAATATACAAGTGTGCGTGTGTGTGTGTTTAATTGTCTTTGTGTGTGAGGGAAGGAAGGAAGGAAAATATAAACCAGGTGATGTGAAAAACTCGTGTGATCAAGAGTTTGTGTTTGATAATTAATTACTACTTGGATATCGAGGTGTAAAAAGCTATTTAATTGGCTATTAAAATTGATATAATTAGTTTTCTGTTTAAATTACATGTTGTTATTATTAGAACACGTGTGTACAGGGTTTTACGAGTGATTATGTATGTATGTATTGTATGTATGTATGTATATGTATGTATGTATAGAATCAAGAACAAGAACGAAAAAAAATGTAAATATATGAGACTTTATTTAGACTCACTGACGGTAGATGGATTGTTACTCTTCCATACCCCCTCCACCTACTTACCTTCCACCCTATTCCCCTCCACCCACTACCCTTCCACTCATTTTCTCCACCCTCCTCACCCTCAACCTTCATCTCACCATCCCTCCCCCTCCCCCCACTCATTCCCTTCCACCCTCCACCCTCATTCCCTTCCACCCTCCACCCTCATTCCCTTCCACCCTCCACCCTCATTCCCTTCCACCCTCCACCCTCTTCCCGCCCATCCTTCCTCGTCACTACATATGGTGAGAGTGGAAAAAGTGGGGGACGATAAATGGTGGAGAGGAGAGAGACAGATGAAGAGGGAGGTAGAGAATTGGTAAAACAAATATGAATAGGAGGAGTAAGAGGAGGAAATGAGATGAATGGTTTACAAGTGCTTAAAGATGGAGAAACAAGAGAGAGAGAGAGAGAGAGAGAGAGAGAGAGAGAGAGAGAGAGAGAGAGAGAGAGAGGAGTGGCACTGAGATAGATAGATGAGGAGGCGGGTTTTTGGACTAACAAAACACAAACCAAACAAAAAATTCAAAATAAAACTAAAAAAAAAATAAAATAAAAAATAAAAATGACGGTAACCTTTGTTGTGGTCGACTGTACAAACAACTTGCGGTGTAAAACAAACTGACAATTTGTTCCATCTGATTGGGTTTAGGGGGACGATGTGTAGAGCTTATGTGGTGAGAGTCTATCTATCTATCTATCTATCTATCTATCTATCCCTAAATATTATCTTTTTCATTATCTCTGTCTGTGTGTCTGTCTGTCTGTCTCTCTCTGTCTCTGACCTGCCTAAGGAGTATTGACATAGCCTATACAACTTCTTGACTGTCAGCATCGTGAACCTCAAACGGGCAGACTGGGACTCCTTCAAGGAGTCTCTCAGTCTCAAGCAGGGGAGAAACCTGGAAGCCAGCCCCAATGACATCGACGACGCGGTCGAACAATGGTACACGGTTGTGAAGACGGAGATGGACAACAACATCCCGACCACCACTCACAGGACCATTCCCCATCCTCACACTAGTCACCAGCTGAGGCAGCTCAGTGTCCAGTACGATCACGTGAGACAGCTAGCCAGTATCCGCGGGTGGACGCAAGAGCTGAGAGACCGGTACCGAGAGCTACAGACGGACATCCAGCACGAGAGCAAACGTCTACATGAACAAAAGTGGGCCGCCTTGGTGTGGGAGGCAGCCAACAATTACCGCGATTCTGCTGCATTCCGGAAAGGGATCAAGCACGGTCCCTTACCTGCTCGACCAAAACAACGTGAATAATATTCGAGGAGGAAAACCAAGGACAACTACATCGGCGATATTTACGGAAGATCTTTACCATTAGTGAACAGGAGAACGAGGGCTTCGACAAGGAGTTTGAGGAGGACATTTTAGGTCAGTTGCAGGACCATCAGCACCTGCTCCAGCCGCTCCCACGGACTGACTTCACTAGACTGGTGGACGGAAGCTACCTGACGGAGCGCATAGTTCCTGCAGATGTGTCAGACGTCATAAAAGGGTTTAAAAACAAATCACCTGGGCAAAGTCACATTAACAAGAAGATCCTGGCTCAACTCCCCGACAACATGATAGAGAGGCTTGCTCATTTATGCAACGCCTGCCTCGCCCCTGGATACTTCCCTAAGATGTTCAAAATCGCCGTTATTCGCCTCATACCAAAAGCAGGGAAGCCTCCAAACAAAGTCGAAAGCTTTCGACCAATATCGCTGCTAGAGGTACCTGCCAAAATCTTCGAAAAAATAGTAACCAAGCGGTTGCGGATGTATCTGGAGGACGAAGACGTGCATAATCCCCGCCAGTTCGGCTTCCGCCAGTACCGAGGCACAACCACCGCCATAGCTCAGGCCTACGAGCAGATCGCCAATACCATGACTGGCCGCCTGCAGTTCAACATAGTACTGAGGGACGTCAGCAAGGCGTTTGACAAAGTTTGGCACGCAGGGCTGCAGTATAAGATCATACAACTGGGGCTACCCGAAAATCTGAAGCGCCTGCTGTGCAACTTCATTATGGACCACAGAGCCAAAATCAAGATGCAAGAACATTTTGCAGAAGAATTCTCACTATCGAGCGGCGTGCCTCAGGGTTCTTGTCTCTGACCAACCCTTTACACACTCTACACGACTGACCTGCCACCCCCAATCGTCGGCAGCGAGTACGTCATGTATGCCGACGATGTAACACAGATCGTCACCTGCCCAGGAAGGTCCACGGCAAGGATGGCGCGACTCACTGCTCGGGCAATAGAGGAGATCTCGGAGTATGAACATAAATGGAAAATAAAAACAAACAAAACGAAATTCGAGGTCATAGCCATAGCCAAATTCAAGTCGGCGCCATTGATGATCGACGACGAAGAGATGGAGTACTCTAAACAAGGCAGGTTGCTCGGCCTCATCATTTCTCGGACGGGCATCATTCCCCACGTGAAGGACAGACTAAATAAAGGCAAAGTCGCCGCAGCCAAATTAAAACGTTTTAAACTGATGCCTGAGAAGATACAAGTTCACCTGTACAAGGCGCTGGTGAGGCCTGTGTTGGAGTACCCATCTAGACCACTCGTCACACTCGGGAAGACTAGACTACAACAACTACAGAGCTTCCAAAACAAGTGTTTGAGATCAGCCAGTGGCCAAGCGCCACCCTACCAGGAGACAGTGGAAACCGTCCACCTAAGAAATAAAACAGAGGCCCTCAACTTCAGGTTCCATCGCCTAGGGAAGAAGGTTTGGGACAAGCTCCTGGACGACCCTCACATCCCAGACCACTTACGCGGGGAAGACATCAACGGAGGGCGACCCCACGCCTGGTGGCCCCGGAGTCTGCCCGCACTACAACAACCCAACCCGCGACCCATCTATGTCCGCCACAGTGATCCATCTTAGATTAAAACTTAGATGATATAAATTCACATTTAACGAGTCACAATCTAGTGAGTCCATAACGTAATACAGTATAAGATTTTAATAAACTTGTAATTGTAAAATCAATCTAGTCATTGTCTACTAAAATAACCATTGTGCAACCTCATTCTAAATCCTAGGTTAGCTTAGTTAGCCAACAAACTCTGTAATATGTAAAACAAGGGGTGTCGTCCCCTCTGTTTAACTCATTAAACTTCTTTTCCAACCTTTCCCCCCACGACTATATGTTGTGACTTCTCCATCCCTCATGTCTGGCTGTGCCTTGAGCCCCAGCATGCCTTCCATCCTTTCCCCACCTTAACCTAAAAAAAAAACCTGATGAGATGTCAACAGATCCACGAGACAGAGAGAAAAAGATCTCACCTTTATAATGTGAGTTAATCTCTCTGTCTCTCATCGTTAGCCAAGGGGAGACTCTTATTTACAGAGAGAGTGAGAGAGGAGATGAGGGGAGGAAAGGGTGAGGATATAGTAGGTAAAATCAAGACTCTCTCTCTCATAAAGCTCTTAACCTCATGTTTAATCTACAAGTGACTAAACAACTCACTAA